AGGTCTTTGTACAGAATTACAGTAACTGAAAACATAAACAGTACTTGGCCAGTATATTTATCCATACTGAAATCTTATGAATATTAAAATCTTGGAGCTTAGTATTTCCCCAGCAACATCACTCAACTATATTAAATGAATATGCTATTTATGTGTCTCTTTTTGTTAAATTTGTACATTATCAAACCATAAAGTCTGGGTTTTTTTGTTTCATCAGTCTTACGGTTTTCTGTCTTTTTATAATTACAGAGTGGTGAATTAATCCATAGGACTCCGACAGTCAGATCCTTTTCTTTTTAGTGAAAATGAGCAATTTCTCATCAACTTCAAATGAAGTAATACTTGGTCTTTGGATAGATATAAACCATAAGATATACAATCTTCTCTCTTTAAGCTTATGTCTGCTGTTTCCATTTAATAAAATGTATTTACTATTTCTGCAAGAAACAGTAACCAAGATATAATTACAGCTTTCCATAGGTTCAGTAAATACTTCATTAAAACTAGCTTTTTCAAATAGGTGTTGGTAAGGTTTCCAACCCTATGTGAAATTCTCAAAGAGTAATGATAAAATAAATCATAAGTTTATTTTTGTAGATTTATTTATCGCTAGTGAGTACTTGAAATTAAGACTAAAGATTTACCATAATGCATGCATTGATTGTGGAATGCATGCACAAATTTTCAGATGTGTATAATTATTACAGGTGGCTACATTGTATATGTTTTTGAAGCTAGTACTTCACATTTTCAATTCTAGCCTACAAGTAGAATTTCTATTAATTGTAATAAATCATAACCATATTCACCATTTATTTTTTGTTAAATATTATTATTCTAATAGCATTTTAGACTTGAAATTTCTTCATGTGCTATTTTCTGGAAGTTACATGCTGTATATAGGACATTTGCAGTTTCAAAGTTGAAAAATTTCCAAGTACATCCAGAATTATTTTCTTAGATTTTCTATTGCATGGATTCAGGTATCCATTCAGAGATAACACCTTTGTAGGACTTGGTGGCTATCTCTTGAACCTCATGAAAAGATCACATCCTGGGACTTTTATGGGGTTTTGTGTTTGTTCCAGCACCGCACCCAGCAGGAGCTACTTTCATAAAGTTCTAGGCAAAGCTTCAAAGTTTTGGGGTTTTTATAATATATGCACTTTTGGCTTGTGGTGAAGGACAATAGTTGGTGAATTTTTTTGTCTTTTTTTTTTAAATAACAAAGAAAGGCTCTATTTCTTTATCATACATTCTCCTTAAATTTTACTTCTGTTAAGAGTGATATTTTTTCAAAATTTAGGTGCAATTAACAGTACATTTATGAGAAAGACATACCTATAAGAGGAGTCTTCCTGCCGTTCATCCAGTTAGTGAAGAATGAGGTTAACACTTAGGATCTTACCAAAAAAAGTGAATAAATGCTTTTATAACATTTTGTTTTTCTGTCCATCTGGTAACACACATAATTAGAAAGTAAAATTGGTGCTGTCTGTTATAACAGGGACTGACACAACTGTAACTGTAACTACCAACTGATACATACACAATGTGTGGAAATGGTCACTTTTGTGGTCTGATATTTTCCCAGGCTTGGTCTCTGCTGAGGAATTATTTATTTATTTGTAAAAGCGTACACGAAATATGTATGGTTTCAAAAGGCTAGGAGCACCCCTGGTGTGCCGTGGAGGCTTTGATGTGGCAAAGGCAGCTGAGTCAATTCAGGGGTAAGAGCTGGATTGTGTCCTCTCATCCCACCACCAAGCCCTGTGTGGTCAGATAGTGGTCTCTTCTGCAACTGCCAGTGGCGTTTCCTTCAGGTTACTGGTCCAGAAAGCAAAGTTAAGCTTTCAGACTACTCTCTGAGCTCTGCACGTAAATGCAATTATTTTCCCTAGCTCTAAGACCCATGCGTCCAGAAGAGCTGTGGTGGTGGTGATCCAGACGAAGGAAACATAAAGATGATGGTCCATGCGGAAGCTCTCCTTTGACGATGCCAGCGAGATGTATTGTGTTCTTGCCCTGTCCTCCTCTCAAATGCACTGATAATGCACATCGCTGGAATTTTAAAGGCATTTTAAGAAAATCATCCTTATAGCATGGTGGCATTTAACTTTCCTGGTTTCTCTTAATATATACTAAGCATATAGAATAAAGCATGTTATTTGTGGACATCAGGTGAGGAAGGTGCTCAAAATCTGGATTTTCTGTCATGATAGTTAGCTGGTAGACATTTGCTTTTAATATTAATTTAATCAAACAGGTTTTTTGTATAGGAAGATGTATCATATTAATGACTTTTCATTACAGTGGCAGCAAATAAACCCTTTCAGGGAAAATGTTTGAGGAAGTGGAAATACAATTAGCAATTTTGAATCATATTTCCTAGAATATAGGAATTGCATTCACTGTTTTCTATCTAACACATGTCTTACTGCATGTTTAAGATAACAGCTTCTTAATCGTAATAATTTTCATCATTAAGTTCCAGGTTGGCAAAAACAGTGTAACTTCTCTCTTTTCAAGTTCAATTTATTTTAGATAAACTAGCATTAAAGTCTCTTGGTAATTGTCTGTCTTCTATCAGCTGCAGCCGATTTGTCCCAATAAACAATTCCAGAGAGCTCTATGTCAGATAACTAAGATGGCAATGCATCTGTCTTGAGGCTGTTCTGAGGTTGATGTGAAGGGATTGTTATTTTCCACTGTAGTACATTATTCAATTTGTTGACTTGGCTTACCACAAGCACTTCTGTAGTTTCATAGTTGCACAAGTTTTTTAGTCACAAAAAAGGAATGATCACAGTCCCAGTAACACCAAAATCATGACACTTCTCTATACATCAGAAATTGTGGTTTATGTCCTTGAGCTAGTCCCATTTTAAGACACTGATCATGGCCTCAAAGCCCCGTAAGACCCATCAGTCAATGGTGCTTTTACCAAATTCCAAATCTGATACCATGTATTAAAAATGTACAGTGCTTAGTTTTCTGTATTTCAAGACATCAAGGTGCCCAGCAGCCAGATATTCATAGAAGAGCATTCTGCTCAGATGGACGTAAGCAGTACCCTACCAAGTCCAAAATCAGATCTTCTGCACATGTGTAAAGTATCGGGTGCCAACGTTGTACAGGAAAGGCCATCAGATATATTCACTGTATGAGCGATTGAGAGTTGCTGTGCCCATGCATCATTCATCTGGCCAGGACTTACTCTCCCTCTGAACTCAGCTTGGGTCCTTCAAGGTCTGCAATGTAACTCTGCTTTGATGCTGTCCTCAACAAAATTATTTAGCAGCCATTTTACCTCAGTGAGACAGGATTAGGTGCCATGTCACTCATAAACTTAAGTTTAGAGAATAGAAAATAAAGGGTATTTCTTGGATTGTGCTTGAGTCTTTTTGGCCTGCTTCATCCATAGCGGTCACTGTCTTCATAACTTGCTGAATTCAAGAGGTAAGGAATCAACTCAGTTTTATTCTCAGGAGAGCAGCCAAGGAATTAACAGTCAGAGAAAACTGAATTATTTATTAATGAAGGATTGACTTGTCCAAGAATAGCAGAGAGGACAGTGGCACAGAACCATCAAGCTATAAAGTCTTATGGGCTTCACACTTCACTGATGCTTCATCTAATTGATCAGAAGTGCTAAATCAATTCACTTTGACTTTTATCTAAGCATCGGTGAAAATGCCATGCTTGGCTTTACACACCCTTGTAAATCACGTGAAGACTCTTAATTTGACTGCACATCTGCTAAGCACATATATTATTGCATTAAAATCTTAAGTGCATTGGTTTCACAGCGGGTGTGTGCCAAGACTGGAGGAAGGAATCCACTCAACAAGTCATTTCTTCCACTGCTGCACTTACACCTCTTTACTGACTACAGTTTCACATTCGGATGTCTCATATAACCCCAATATATAGAGCACAACCTTTTCTCTACGGAACATGCTCATGTTAATCATCTGTATGAAAAATTGCAAGCATCACATAACATGGAACATTTATTTTTGTTCTCATCTTACTATTAACTCCAATTTCATCATAAATTTTCTAAACTTTGACAACAGATGCAGAATCAGAGATGCTATATACATTAATCTGGCAGCTCAATAGCAAACTCACCCTAAGAAATACAAGCTTGGATTTTTTTTTAAATTTTAGTATCTAAACTTTATATTGCTTCCCATGGTGTGTACACTTGTTGTATGCACTGCTATTATGCACATTATTGCTATAGGAAATTGCTTTTATTGCTGAAGCGCTGTCCTGCCTGGCATATACAGAGAAGAAAATTTGCCTCATATAGATCAAGCAGGTTTTTATTATAATGATCAAGTGTTACAGGCTGCACAGAGGACGACTGGTTTTGCTTTTGTGGAGGCTAAAGATTCTACATGAAATGGTTTGCTCTGAGTTCTGGTACATTTGTGTCACTTCAGACATCTGAGACAAAATACAGTTCATATCAGTGGATCACAGGAGGGGAAAAGAGGTCCTAAAGTAGTTTAAACTCTGAATTACATATGTTTTTAAAACTCCTTGATACAAACTGATGAGCACTGTATATTGTAAAGGGTTTCATGGCTTGTATTTCTGCTGAAAGACTATAATTATTTTGAATATTCTTTAATATTTCTGTGCAATGGCTAGATTTATTATGGTGAAAAATAATGCTGTCAAGTGCTTAAAGAAGTCTTACAGGTAACCGATCCAACTTATAACTAGTCTCAAGTCTGGTTTGGGAATTATATCAATCAAGTATATCCTACATGGACATTTAAGCTATTGAACCAAAACAACTAAAACAATAAAATACAGCAAATCCTTTGTATAGTTTACTCCAGAGTTTCTGGTATGTCTGAAAAAGCAAAGTACATACTCATATACTATACTTCTGTTTTTCTGAATTAAGGAAGACAAGGATTAGTTTTACTTTAAGTGGAAATGTAACACATGGGATATTAATTTCCTTGTTTCCTCAAATATAGATCTGCAGACTTCAGCGTCACCTATCAACAGGAAAATACCAGCAGAATCTCTTTTCAAACCTGCCTGTAATGTTTGTGTCTCCTACCAGTCAGCCACCCTGTGAAAAGCTAATTGAGCTTATACAGTTGTCAGGAGGAAAAATCTGCAAAGCCTTACGTCAAGCACAAATCTGTATAGGGAAAAACCCAGGGAAGAAGTATCAGGAAATAAGGTGTTTATCAGAAAAATGGATATTAGGTAAGATACTAAAATTCAACTCCTATAAAATATTGTGGAATATGTATTCAAAACTGACTGTAATTAGCTCACTAATCTGAGGTTTTGGAGGGAGGAAAATGGAACAGACTGCTACAGTAGGTTATCAGGAAAGTTGTCTTCATGGAAAGGACTTTCTCTTACATCTAAGACTGCTTTATTACGGTCCTGGTACCCACTACTGTAATTTTACCTAGAATGAATTTCATCCAAAGATTTTAAAATGTATCTTTTGTATGATTCATTCATTTAGAGCAAAGTACATTATGGGAAAACTCCAAAGGAGAATTGCTTTTTAAAATGGCATGTATTTCAGTTTTAGATGTACTAAGAAAGTTTTTTAACTGGTATAAACTGGCATAGCACTACTGAAATATGGTAACGGCACCCTGTGATAATCTGTCCTTAATTATATATTATACATCTGATAGACAATTTTATGCAGTCTCTATTTCACTGGCAAAAAGTTTCTTTTTAAAATCTGCTGTTAAGTTTCTAAGAAATGTTAGTCCATCATTTTTCCATCATGGACGCCACAGTTCTAATGGTTATCTGTTTGCAGGGAATCAGATGTAAAATTGCAATACTTTCACCCTGAAAGAAAAGCTTTTGATAATCTACGTAGGATTCACAACTTCCAGTTTGACACTCTCTTTTTCAGAGGAGATAAGGGTATTTTTCAAAAAATGAAAAAAGAAAGCATACCAGAAAAAATGAGATTCTTTTACAAACTAGAAAAAATAAGATTCAATTTTTGTCATACACTATGTCAAACTCCTTTAGGAAGTGCCTCACCCAGACTCTAGCAATAAACGTACTACATGAACTGCTGTTATATGACACTAGACAAGCCCTAATCTCTTGACTGTTAATACTATCAGATCATAACTTAAAACCTGAAAGAAAATACCACTAAAGAAATACCACCCATCTGACTGCAAGTGTTATTTGAGACTTCCTTGAGTATAAGATAAAATTGTGAAGATTTGAGAGAGAGGCGTAAGAAGGCAGCACTGTTTATTGTGCTTTTCTCTGGCTTCAAAGAAGACGTAAAGAGCAAGCATGGCCAAAAAAAAAGTGACCAAATGAGGAAACCAGAGGTTTGTGCAAGACTAAAAATACGATGTAGTAAACTAAACAAAAAAGCTTCGTGTAGTCATACTCTGGTCATAAATTGCAGATGGAGGAAGGTAATGATCTAAAGGGACATGCACCTCATGTGGCACACACCACTCTGCTGCTGCTCTCATGGAGTTCTGCCTCAGCCCAGGTCCAGCATCTCAGGAGCCTGCGGCAGCTGCAGGGGCCCATCCAAGGGCTGAAGGAATTGCGCATCCGGCTGCTAATGAAAAAGGACACTGAATTCTTTGTGTCCTTTACATATTTCTCAATTCTCTTTTGCAGTCTGATGGATTCTTTTTTAACTGTTACATCTTGCTCATGGGGCACTGTTCTTCAAGCTCTAGCTAATGGTTTTTATATGATGAATCATCAAAACTCAGAAAAAAGACGTATTTCTATATCACAGAATCTCAGGAGTTGGAAGGGACCTTGAAAGATCATCCAGTCCAACCCCCCTGCCAGAGCAGGATCACCTAGACTAGGTCGCGCAGGAACGCGTCCAGGTTGGTTTTGAATGTCTCCAGAGAAGGAGACTCCACAACCTCTCTGGGCAGCCTGGTCCAGTGCTCTGTCACCCTCACAGTAAAAAAGTTTTTCCTCATGTTTACATTGAACCTGCTACGTTCCAGCTTGCACCCATTGCCCCTTGTCCTGTCATTGGACATCAGAGAGAAGAGCCTGGCTCCTTCCTCCTGACACTCGCCCTTTACAAATTTATAAACATTAATGAGGTCACCCCTCAGTCTCCTCTTCTCCAAGCTAAAGAGACCCAGCTCCCTCAGCCGCTCCTCATAAGGGAGATGCTCTACTCCCTCGATCATCCTTGTGGCCCTGCGCTGGACTCTTTCAAGCAGTTCCCTGTACTTCTTGAACTGAGGGGCCCAGAACTGAACACAATATTCCAGATGTGGTCTCACCATGGCAGAGTAGAGGGGAAGGAGAACCTCTCTCAACCTACTAACCTTACCCCTTCTGATACACCCCAGGATGCCATTGGCCTTCTTGGCCACAAGGGCACAGTGCTGGCTCATGGTCATTCTGCTGTCCACCAACACCCCCATGTCCTTTTCTGCCTGGCAGCTTTCCAGCCACTCGTCCCCAAACCTGTAGCGCTGCATGGGGTTATTGCAACTGAAGTGCAGGACCCAGCACTTGGCCTTGTTGAAGCTCATACAGTTGGCCTCAGCCCATTGATTCAGTCTATCCAGGTTCCTCTGCAGAGCCTTCCTACCCTCAGGCAGATCAACACTCCCTCCCAACTTAGTGTCATCTGCAAACTTGCTGAGGGAGATATGGTACTATATGGTACTTTAGAGGAAGGTTACAGGTGTTTGAAGCTCAGTCTCTTACTCAGCAACTGTTTACATAATAGTATGAACAGTATCACCTAAAAATGGCCATCTTAATCAAACAAGATCTGAATTTTTTTCTAATCTTTGACACTTCACTGTTGCAATTCGGTTGGTTTGTGGCAACCTGTTTTCTGCTGTTAATACTGACTGCCAATTAATTCACTTAAAGTTGACCACAATAAAAAGCATACAGGTAGAGAATGCAGCATCTTTTAAAAAATAAATAAATTATACGTTCTTGTGACACTATCATTTGACTGCCTTTTTTTTTTTAGGAACCTTCTCTGCGTTCTCAGCTCCACCAACTTTTATACCAGAAATTGTTCTGAAGTTCATTGTCGCTTTATAATCTGTTTCTTGTGCATTTTACCTTAAATAATCCTGCTTTTTTATTTCTTTTAGATTCAATCACTCAGCATACAATATGTCCCATGGAAAACTACATTTTTCAGCTGTGAGCGAACTCGAGAGCTTCCATATGGTTGTAAGAAAACAAACCTAGTTTGGATTCAACAAAAAAACTAAGTTGTGAATAAAATTTCAAAGAAAACACAAGTTGTATATTTATAAATACAGGGAAATGTTTTCTACATTTTTATTACTTGTGTAAGTGGTCATCTTGTGAAATCTTTATGTTGTTACAATAAAGTACTTCCCTAATAAAAGTAATCCTGCTTTTATTTATTTGTTCAAGTCATTTGGACCTAAAAGTTGAATGTATCATTATGCACTGGGAGGAAGTGGAAAGATCTTTTCTACTCTCTAAGTGAAGCTGATCATGTTACAGTGCAATTACTGGTTTGGCCAAAAAGTAATTGCATTTTTTTCTGGGTAAATAAAAGGTGACTTTTTTATGGGAAACAAAAACTGTATTATACAATGTATTGTCCATTTTGTTCAATTACCATTTGCCATCTTTCTGGTAACTTCATGATTCCATGCTCAAAAAAGTTCTTATCTTTTTTGGCAAAAACCATTTTGAAGAACGATTTGATATCCTCATCAGCAGTGAAGGTTTTACCATTCAAGGCCTTTTGTGAGGAACTAAACAAATGGTAGTCTGATGGTGCCAGGTCTGGTGAGTATGGTGGATGTGGTAACACATCCCATCCAAGCTGCAACAACTTTTGATGAGTGACCAAACTTGGATGTGGTCTAGCATTATAGTGGAGAAACACAACACCTTTGTGATTCTCCAATTCTGGATGCTTCTGTTTGATTACATCATTTAATTTATGCAGTTGGAGACAGTACACGACCGAATCAATGGTTTGGTTCCTTGGAAGCAATGCCAAATACACAATACCTTTGAAATCCCACCTGACTGACAGCATAACCTTCCTTTGGTGAGTATCTGCTTTTGAAGTGCTTTGAGCTGGTTCATCACGCTTGCTTTCATTCATCATTATTGTAGATGATCCATTTTTCATCACCTGTTATCATTCATTTAAAAAATGCATTGTTTTGTTTGCATTTCAAGAATCACAGATGTCAATGTGCTTAGTGAGATAAATTTCTTTGACCTCATGTGGTACCCAAATATCAAGCTTCCTAACATATCCCAGTTGTTTTAAATAGCTTTCAACACTCAATTTCAGTATGTTAAGATTATCAGCAATCTCTTGTGTCATTAAATGCCAATTGGATTTGATCAATTTTGTTGTTATCAACTTTGATTGGCCTTCCTGAGCGTAGTGCATCTTCAACATAAAAATCTCCAGACTGAAATTTAGCAAACCAATTCTGACACTGTCGGAGTTCTAAGGCATCTTCACTATACACATCACATAACTCTTTATGAGCATGCACAGTTTTTTTTCCTTTTTGGAAGTAACACAGCAAAATACAATAAAAATGATCCTTTTGATTTTCCATTTTGAAATCGACACCAAGTAAGTAATTGTTAATGAAATCGTGCACTTTCCTTTTCTAAAACAAGCTTGGACTGACAGCTGTCAAGTTACACAATGAATCTGCAGTTTGAAGTGAAGTCAGTTGCATTTCAAGACATGTATGTCCATCTATTAAAAAACATACAATTGCTTTTTGGCCAACTCAGTAGAAGAGGTGCATTCAGCATGGGGGAGCGTGCCTGAGCCAGCTCCGGTGTAGTCAGCACAGATGCATGGGTCCCCTAGGTTCCTCTATCTCGAGTGCCTCTGCGGATGGCTGAAGGCCCATGTTGCCATACCTTCATGACCATTGCTAATTAAGTTTCTTTGGTAAATGGATAAGGCATCCCATCATGTTTAACTCACAACTGCTGGTGTAAACTTGCACTGCTAAACTGAGCTTCCAAAAGTAACTGAAACTCAGTAATTACGTTCAGATGCATAGTTAACATATTACTTTATTTCAATACCTTTAAATGAGTTTCAAACTCTGTCTACATTACATCTAAATCATAAATAGTTGCTGATCCTGAGTCAAATGAATTGAGACAACACATCATTCAAGTGCTAAAATCTGTTGAAAATTGAACATATCATTAAATCCCTTAGGCATGCTTGAAAAATGTATGCAGATGTGTTAAATTCCTCTTCAACTGGTGGTTTTGTTTTTAGCAAGTCCAAAGTAATGTAAAGTATGTTGTGTAACACTCATTTACCTATAAATGTACAACTTCCTTTAAATATTTGCAAGGTCCATCAAAGTGATGTATTATCACATAAAGAATAATGTATTATCAAGTAACTTAATCGAAGCTCTCGACTCACACCTTCCAAACCCAGTGCTCGCCTCAGAGTACTGTCAGTGTAAGGCAATTGAAACTCTGTAGTAAAAGTAATGATTTCAAGGAAATATTATGGAACAATCAAGGTACAGTGGTTTTTAAATATTGCCATTCCATAGCAAAGTCCTGACTTCTTGGGCTTTTCAAGGGATTTGGATGTACATTTTCTGTAAACTGGAGGATTAAAGTTTTTTCTTCAGAACAAGTTCAGCAGTATCTGCGTGGCAGGCTGTTTCAGGCACAAATTACACGTGTATAGTTGGTCTGTAAAATGTTAACATACATCTTAAAGGAAAAGCTCCAAGTTATGATGATTTGACAGAAAATTAAACTGACTTTACTTTCAGAAATACTGAGCACCTGTAACTTAAAAGGTTAAGATCTCAAGTATCTAAGTGCTATAAAGCCGGTTTTAATATATAAACTAGAAAATACAATTTACCAAGGTCTTTTCCTTGCTTAGTCTTCTGACATGCACATTTTTAACAGCATCATAGCTTGGAAAAATATGTTTGATACAAAAATTGGTATGTTTGACAGCAAAACTGGTAATCAGGTGTGTCTACAAATTGTACTGTTTGTAATAAAAACTATTTACCTATTTACTGCAGAGCACTGGTAATGTGGTATTAGTCTCCACCCTTGACCTTATGAGCCCATTTATTAAGAAACTAGTTGCCAAGTACTATAGAGTAAAATATGAATACTTAAATAAGTTGTGACATGTGAACATATGGTTCCCAGTAAATATCAGAATAATTTGTTTGAATTATATTGCTTAACTTTGAATGTTACAGCCTCCTAGTTTATTTTGCAGTCATTTCCTAAGTCTACTACCCTTAAAATATCTGTCATTATCAATTTATATAATGTAACATTTCAAATCAGTTTTCTCATAAATCTTACTAAGATTAATCTCAGCTATTTAAATAGCAAATTCTTGGATCAACTTGTTGGTCTTCATCAGTCACACATGTAACAGACTTGAAAATGAAAAGTCTAAGATACTTTTTTCTAAATGAAAATGTTTCAGATATAACAAGCTGCCAATTGCATATAAGTTTAGTTTTATGGTTTGATAGAAAACCTTATCTATTGGCTGTTCTTGCAAACTTTGTAATACACAGGTAAATATAGCCTAATTTTGGTCTCACATCATGGGCATTGGGAGTGCTGTCTATCCATGTTGACTATTGCTTGTAATAGTACATAGCGAACCCAGGAGAGGTTAGAATTAAATCCAAAGACTAGCACATTGTACAGGCAGTAAAAAATAAATAATATTTCATGTTTATAGCCTGGAGTCTTTCACACAAACAGCACCTGTGCCCTAGTGTGAGTTCTCAGCCACCTCAGCGTTGGAAGGAGGGTGCGTTTCTACCCAAGGCCTGAACAGCAGAAGACACCGACTCTGGCCGTCCCCTCAACAAACCAGCATGGGAAGGGAAATGATGATGTGTCAAAAGTTGCATTTGTCAGAAATCCACCAATTGAAAATACACCTGCACTTGATATCAAGGTCCTAAGGATGGTAACACGCAGAAGAAAAGGCACCGAACCCAGCAATGTGCAGCATCACTGATTCATGGGCAGTTTTGAATTGATCAGTGCTAAGACCTTTCAACATACAGCGCTTAATTGACGTTCTGCTGTAGCACAGCACAGCTGCGCTGCCTCTTCTACAAATTGGTACCTGGCTCGCCTTATCAGGAATATACTTTTTTTTTAAAAAAATTTCCTTTTTTCTTTCTCTGTCCTTTTTTTGCAGAGGAGTGGTTGTACTAACCTTACCTTTTTTATACTGCATGAATATTTTTGCCATTCATTTGTGAATTACTTAGCTCAGCGGCTGTTCTCTCCTTTTCAGATAGTTCCTGCCCCCCTGCTAAAGGCTGTCTCTAACAAAACTACATTATCGTGATTAAAGATCTTTCTAAGTTAGCCTGATTTGACTGGGAATCTGTTTAAATGAAAATGAACTGAAAAGCAAAAATAAGTATTATTCCTTCCTGAGATTCACCACAGGTCCTATTTTAAGTCATTTCACTTGCACTGGTGGTACAGGTGAAACCACTCAGATGCTCAGAACACCACTATCCCTTTCCTCCTTCCTCTTCCAGAGATGAGATGAGGTTTTACCATGCTTTTCCTGGGGACTCACACTGACAAATGCAGAAATACAGAGCACAAACACAGGCATGGCCCTCAAGAATGTGTTGCTTATGTCAGAATGACAGCAAAATAGGTGTCCTCTTCAAAGAGTATATCATTGTGATTAAATTAGGATCTAAAACAATTTATTTGTAGTTAAAGTGACTAATATTCTGAGATCCTCTAAGGATGTGTTTGAAAGCAAGACTGCCAGAAACTCGTAAGGTGGGTGGATTATACATCTCTTTTTTCCCCTTTTCTCTGTTTTTTAAATCCGTTTTAGATTGCAACTGCGTTTGGCGTGTGTATAAGTAGTGAGTAAAAAGCCTCTAAATATTCACAGTCATCCTAGTATATGAGCCATCTGGTACTGCGTGATTAAACTACAGATTTATTAAGCTGTTTTTATGTTTCTGGATATTTTCCTGATTCAGCTATAGTAAACTTTTTGGAGACTGTTACTTTTTAAATAAAAACAACTAGTAAAAACTATTGCATCACTTGATTTTCTGTTTATCTAAATTGATCCATATAGAATGTAATTTAGGAATGACTCCATTATGTGGTAAAGTGTTATCAGCACAGTTGGTGCAGGGAAGCTGCTAGCACACACATGCATTTTTTGGTGAAACCTGTGATCAGCTTAGGGACTGTAAGGCAAAAGTGATTTTAATTAGTAATTCCTAGTAGGGACTGTGGCTGGATGGAGCTGCGTTTTTAACAC